CTCCTGGCCAGAGGGACGGGAAGGGGCCAGGCTCCAGGGGAGGGTGCCCTCCCGGCCCCATGGGAGCTGCCAGCTACCTGCATGAGCGACACTGGGCTGCTGATGGACGCAGCTCTCCGGGCACCTGGGCCTGGGGTTGGCACAGGCCTGGGGAGGGTCCAAGCCTGCCTCTTCACCAGCTTCCCAGCGTCCTCAGACCCGGGACCTGAGCCGACAACTGTCCTTCCCTCACCGACCACATGGCGTTTCCATCACGAGGGGAGGGGGCGGAGGCACAGTGTATTACAATGCCACGGGCAGAGGAGACAGCAGCATTCCTACCGTGAGTCCCCCAAGTACAGATGTGCTTTGTGGGCCAGCTGTGTCTGACCTGGGCAAACCATGTAGGGTGACTCATCAGCAGCGTCTCAATGATTTAACAAACGGTTCATGATTGCAGGGGGTCCTGTGAGGGCGCCAGGAGGCGTGAGCGCTCCCTACATCCTGCAGACACCCCCACGTCGGGTCTGGGCCACTGGCCCTCGCCCGGCTGCCCACGCTGAGGCCAGGAGATGGAGGGGACGGGGCGGCAGAGATGACACCCCCCCCCATATCACATGTCACTCTGGTCTGACACGGCCAAGGGATCCCGGGTGGCACCAGCAGGCATGGCCAGTGCCACCTGACCCCCCCTCTGGGGTCCTGGTGGGGGCACTTGAGCCCAGTGGAGGGAATCCAGGACAGGCCCTTCGCTGGCCCGACACTGCCACCTGCCTGTGGGCGCCAGTACTGCAGCGGGAGCTGGGCTGAGGCCTGTTGGTGCAGATGAGGGAGCAGGGCTCAGAGGGCGCCCAGAGTGTCCCCAAGGTCACACGAATGTCACCCGAGGCCCGGAAGCCAGGCCTGTGTGGCTCCAAAGCCCTCTGCTCATTCGGCCTCATGGCCCAGGCTCACAGGGGACTGAGGGCCGCGGGGCCTGAGGATGCGGGCTGCTCCCGCCCCCACCAACCCCCGGGACCTTGCAGGTCCACACCCCGGGAAGCTTGGAGGCAGCAGGGGGCCCCTGGTTCTTCGCTGCCCCCCAAATGCTGTGGGAAGGGCTGATCGTGAGGCTGAAGCCTGCGGTCTGGTGAGGGTGGAGCCGCGGGGTCCCTGGGAGCTGCCCCTCTGGGCATCTAGGGCGCCTGTCCCTGGGTGGCTGCGGCCAGTGGCTCTGGGCTGGGGAGCCACAGGCGGAGGGACCCGGACAGGGACAGGCTGGGTCCCAGGACCACAGGGCCCCGGAGTAGCCTGCCTCGAGCGAAAGGAGAATTCCCGCTTTGCAGACTGCCTGTGGGGTTCACCCTCTCGTCCGGCCTCCCGCACCCGTCAGAGCCCCGCAAGGCCCCCGGGTCCTGGGGAGCAGTCCTGCCCCAGCCTCAGCACCTGCGGGACGGCCTGAGGTGTTGTCTCCGGGGCAACGTCTCCATCCAATGGCCGGGGTGGGGCTGGGGCCTGGCCCCTCTGAGGACAGAGCCCAAGTGGGACACAGCCAGGGTCCTCGCCCCTGACCTCGGCTCTGACCCCAGGGTGGAGGTCCTCTGACCTCTGTTGGGAGGAGGGGTGGCTATCAGGGGTCATGCTCAGGTTAGTAACACCCTGGGGATTGTGGGGCGACACCCTGGGGGCCGTGGGGCGGCTGAGAGGTCGCTGTGGGGGAGGCAGCTGGGCTTTTGCAGGTGTGGATCTAACCCACAGGGAGGGTGTCCCCAGGAGGGCGGGTCACTCAGGAGGCAGGTTGGCCAGCACCACCCGCCCACCTGGGTCCCAGGAGGGGGCACTGAGCCCTGTGTAAAGGGGGCCTGAGGGCTGGGCCAGACGGGGGACAGCACCCAGGACAAGGGCGGCCTTCCTCCCGCTGGGTCCACAGACCGC